ATATGATATAATTGAAAATATATAATATAATTGGCTCTTCTTTAGCAGAATACAAACAGGTTGCGGATTATAAAAAGCGACTTCGATAATCTTCCCAATTGATTTGCCAGGTGTCTTCTGAAGAGACGTAGAATAGGAAAAGTACAATCGAACTCTTAGATCGGTTTCTATAACCAATCTATATATGTAAGGTCTCTTCTGTTAGACAGATCTCATCCAATCGAACTCTCAGATCTATTTATATAACCAACCTACAATTGTAACCCTCCTCTGCTAGACTTAACTACAGGGTATTTGACAGGAGGAGATAGCGCAGACCTCATCCAATCGAACTCCCAAACAACCTATATTTGATTACCCTTGACTAAACTACAGGGTACTTCGCAGCCGTGCACTTTCACTTAACGAAACCTCTCCGACTGGTTTGTATATAATTATATGTATATACATATATAATAATTGCCCGCCATTGATTTCTCTTCTGGGGGTCGCTACGGGCACTTTTTTTTAGTGGCGGCGCCAGTTAACACGACGTCGTTGAATTTCACAAGAACTGCGACGCGGGCAGAGCCCAACCGATTTCTGATAGCATCGTTATCTCCGCAACTCTCGAGTCTCCCGCTCTCTCTCTCTCTCGAGTCTCTTGCTCTCGCGCACAGCGCGTGCCGCCAGACGAGGGCGAAGTCAACTCTTGAGTTTGATTCTGATAAGAGCTGTAAAAAAAAAACGCAGCTCTTGTCAGCTGCGACGGGGGTTGTCGATCTCAGGTACTCTGTGTGTGTGTGTGTGTGCGGGGGGGTGGGGGGTACGCTGTGAGGCGTCACCTGTTAGCGACATGTTCGAGCACGTTTCGCACTGGCAGCGCGCAACTGTAAAAGCACCGTACGCTTTGCTTTGTTTTTTTTTTATTAATCGAAACAACAGAGAACAAAAATGTTAAAAAATTCTTGCACATGTCGCCCCGTTGTCTGTTTTGCTTACGCAAATCGTTGCGCATACGCAGCGTGTTGCCGTTTAACCGTTATGCACGTTGAACCACCCAAAAAAAACACCACCACCACCCACAAGCGGTGGCTGGCGCCGCAGCAGGCAGCCCGCCAAACTGCGTCAATGTCGTAAAACTTTCTCACGTTATTCAAATTGAGAATTGTTTGTTATCCCCGAAAACGAATCCCGTTTTGTGTCTTTTTTTTTTGGGGTATTACGGGGCGTATTAATACGACTTAACGGCAGCATTAAAAAGCGAATGTTAACGATTATGTCACGTTAAGCGCTTGTTTAATGAAGCTATACCGATTCAGCTTAATGAACCACATCGGGAAATTGCCAAAAGTTTAGCTTACACTCCAATTATACCTCTTATATATATATATATATATATATATATATCAACTACCAATCAGAGTGAACAAGCACTAAACAAACAAAGATTTCACCCACATTTTCTGGGAATCGCATTTAGCCACGTCTTGGGAAGCACACGGCCCAATCGCCAGCCTTTCAAATATATTTATTATTGATTTAATTTTAAGTCTATAAATATGTCGAATGCATGAGGGAATCTAGAAATTCAAATCGCTGCCATTCTAATATATAAGCGTCAAATTAATGACGAAAACAAATTCATGACGTCAAAGCAAAGTTTATCTGAGCTTCTAGCTATGCGTATTTAAATTTATGTATCGTCTGCGTAATGGAATACACATGCATATATACATAAATAGATTTATATGGATATATAGCGCATTTGAATTGATCTAAAGTTTATAATTCCCTTGAGTTTGGGCATTTGTTTGGGTTTGCTTCGGCAACAAGTGGCGCAATTTTCATGTTCGCAATTCAACGAGTTGCTTAATTGAGGTCTATTTAAATTATATATATATATATTCTCGATCAGATTGCATTGAAATTGTAAACTATATATATTTAAAACAATGGCATAAAGTGAAAGAGATCCTTCATTTTGAATTAATTAATCACAGCTGGAATACTCTTTATTAATTCCTTATTAATACTACTTATTGATCGGCTGACAAAAAAAAGCAGATATTTAACTAAATTTGTCGCTTATTATTTATAAAAACTTGTTATTTATTTAGGAAATAATCCTACTTCGTTTTATTTAGACCCAAGTTAATGCGTATAAAAACAAATATTGACTACAAATTATAGATAAATATAGAGCTAATAATTGCCAGCATTATTTTCTTTCTATAAATAATCTAGTTTGCCCTTCAATTGATTAGACTATGAATTTAATAATATATATTTATTTTAAAATATTTTTGCGATGTTTTTTTTGCCTACTTCTCTAACTTTCCAAAATAAAAGAACAAATTAATTGGGAATCAAGACGGAGCATAGATTGATTACTTTTGTAGCCAATTAAATGGGACTCCAGTCGGAGGATAGATTGATTACATTCATCCCCTATTGGGCAATTATAAAGCTTAAAGGTTCCACAGAAGGAGACGGATTCTCCATGTTGAACCTCCCACCTAGATGGACATGAATCTCTTATATGACATTTATGAATATATATACTTATAATTGCTTTTAATAATTGCAATTTTTTTAAATTTATGGGAAAACAGAAATAAATAAATACTAATTTGGAAAGAAAAGTCTTTTGTCTTGCTTTTTGGCAGACAAATATTTTGAATGCCCTTTTCCATACACAAAAATATGCGTAATACTTGAACATTATGCTCCGAACTTATTTAAGAAATTAATTTCCACAGAAGCAGCAAATACTCGAGCATTGTTCTATGGCAATCAAAGGCAAACTTTAAACAGGGCAAACCCAAACATTTAACGTCTTTTTGCTGTTATCAATGGTTGAATCTGCTTCTTCTAGGGTTTCCAAGCGTTGTGAGTCATTGCATAAGCATGTTGCCAACTTACTTTGGACCTGGCCAAAAGGTGGGAACAGGCATTCCTCCATATGCAAAATGTGTTCGCATACAGCTGCAACATTTTGTTTGGCCAATTGCGATTTGTGACTATAAGCAACTGTACTAAAATGATAGTCATTAATTAGGCTTATCGCAAACGTGATAAACGGCATGTGACTAACTGGCAAATCACGTTTTTCGCTAATGTTTCGTGTCTGTCGCACGGCGTGGCAACAATTGTATATATATGGCATATTATTTGGCACAAATAGGCCATATGATACCTAGGCAATATCAATAATAAGTGAAAAGTGCAAGTATGGCAAAATATAATTGTGTGAGAGACCCAACTCAAGACTCAATAACAACGCACCTGAGTAATACGAGTGGCTGCCTATATTTAGACAACTTCTTCCAATTGTTGTCTATTTTTACAGGCCAACAAACCAATCAGCCTCAATAAAGATTAGTTACTTTTACGAGCGAATGTCATAACAAATGCATTCGGCGAAATGCCAGACACAGTCCGACTATTGCCCTTTCTTCCATATCAGCTTATCAGTTATTGCTCGGCTTGTTGTTAAAATGTCTCACGCCTCCGAGTTTCAAGAGTTTCAAGGTGCCAAAGAGACCCACTTTCTCAACTTGGCGACGCTTATCTCTGTCGAGAAGGGGGTTGGCAGCACGACTTTTTCTGACTGACAGAAATCGCATTCCTCGTGTGACAAATGACATTTGTTGTGTGTTTGACCACTTTAAGGCAGGTACAAAAATAAACCCGACAGGTACAAAAATAGCTTTGGCGCAGAGCTAAATTTAGACCAAGGCAAAAAACTAACAACAAAAAAAAACAAAACCAGACAACTTCTGCATAAATAGCAAAAGCAAATAAGAGCGCAATAACAAAGTCGCGGAAAATTTCGTATCAGCAATAATAAGTAGCAAAAACACCTTATCAGACGGCGCAGTTCCCAAGAATAACACACAAAATATTAAGGCGCAGTCGAACCGCGGGGGAATCACCTGAACTCCAATTTCCTTATATGGTCAATTTATTTAATAACCTGACGAAATACTTGGAAGTAGTTCTGATTTTTGAGAGGAAACTAGCCATTATTTTCTGTGGTTAGGCTGGAAGCTGACTTTTCGGCTTCAACCACGGGTCATCGGGTCATCATTAGGTACAGTTACAGCTGCCTTGGGGAGATTCGGTCGAAAAGTAGTTTCCTATCTCAAATATTTCAATCAAACTCAGCCCTAGCAAGCTTCACTAACTGCAGGATAATGTTATATATTAGGTTATTAAATCTTAACTTACTTTCTGGTTTTAATTTTTTTGCTTAAAGTAAAAGAGTTAAATAATTTTAAAAGAATTTTAGAAACTTGTTAACAAGTTTTTACATTGTTAAAAACCTGGCGAATTCCTGAAAAAAATAAATAACAAATTTAGAAAATGAGAATTACACATTTCTCGGCAGTTTAATTTGTCAAAATATCTTGTGAAAAAAACCATTTGCAAAAATAAAAGTATTTTCGTCATTTAGCTGCTTTTGTGAAGTTATTTATTTGATATTATTTGTACCCTGCACACTTTTTGCTTTATGCTAATTAGGCTAAAATACATAGCTTTAAATAAGCCATTAAAATCAAATTATCATTATTATTTCATATAATGGTTAATTGTTTCATATAATATTGACTAATATATTTTCTAAAAATATAAGTTTAATTTTTCTACAAACGTCTGTTTAGTCAGTTTCGGTCATGAACGCAACTCAAGCGCTGCGAATATGTGTGCTTATTATTATAATGCTGATTTCGATAAAAATGTGCAAGGTATGCAAAGAACAAGAGTATACAATAGATGATGCCTGACTGATCCTGCCTAACTGATCCTAGCCATAAAGACAGCTAAACAAAGAGGAGTCCGACTCGAGTCGCCGGCTAAAGTACATCCTATTGGTATAACCTGTACAGGTGTACACATATAACCCTGCATACATACTTTGTATAGCCTATTAGTATATCCTGTATACCCAGTAATAATAGAGCTGTATTCACATATAACCTAATATATGGCTAGCCTAACAAACAGATCTTTTGCAGATGGCCCCGTTTTGCAAGATGACAAATGCCGTTTGCGAGTCGAGCAACAAATCTTGGGTTATCATCGACCAATGTCGCCTGCGTGCGATAAGTCGCAACAAGACGACCTTCAATGCGGATATCAATATACTCTATCCTGCGTACAATATTCAAATACAACTGCAACTCATGAAGAATGCCAATGGATATAAGCCCTGGCTCTTTAACTACACAATTGATGGCTGTGTGTTTATGCGCCAGCAAAGACATCCGGTTTTTAAAATGTTCTGGCTTATTTTTCGAGAGTTTTCCACAATCAATCATACCTGTCCCTATCAGGTGAGTTAGTGTCTTACAACTGTTCTATAACTAAACGGAGTACTTAATAGGGCCATCAGATTGTCAAGGATTTCTACTATGATCCCACAAATCTGACCTTGCCCCTGCCAACTGGCGATTATTTGTTGCTCCTAACTTGGTTTTTCGACAAGAAGCCGCAGTTTGTTACGAACATATATTTCTCATTCTATCAGGATATATTCTGAGCAGGGTAAATCTATCGATGCGTGATAATATCTGCGCTTGATTAATCTCACAAAATATCAAAATAAATTATGTTGATGTTATTATAAAAACATTATGGCTTTTTATACCCTGAACCCATTAAAAATGGTTAAAAAGTGTATTATGTATTTGTGCAAATGTATGTAACAGGCAGAAGGAAGCATCTCTGACCCCAAAAAGTATATACATTCTTGATCAGCATCAATAGCCGAGTCGATCTAGTTATGTTCGTCCGTCCGTCTGTCCGTTCGTGCGTCTGTCCGTATGTATGAACGCAAGGATCTCAGAACCTATAAGAGCAAGAGACTTGAAATTTTAGCTGAAGGTCCTCCTAGTGCACGCGAAGATCGAGTTTGTTTCGATAACTTGCTCCGTTTCCAAGTAATCGATCAAAATCTATATCGAAATCCTGTTTTTTGAGCAGTTTCGGCAAATAATATGAGCTAGAGTCACCAAACTTGACTTGTAGCTTCTAGAATAGTATATATATAGTATATGTATATATATTGGAAGAATAGAGTTCAGGGTATCCTCTAGTCGGGAGCTCCCGACTAGAACCTCTTACTTGTTTTAATGTTTGCTCTGGCAATTAAATATAAATTATAACTATTAAAACGATTTATTGGGCAATACATTGACTTTGGCCTCAGTCAATAGTCAATCGTTGGGGCAATGAAATCGAAATATCATCTGGATTTTTGCGCAATGCTTTTGCTGTCATCGCTCTTTGTGGACGCCGTCTATGTATAGAAATCTGAATGTACAATATCCGTATAAAACCCAAGCCTAACCAGCTGACATTGCAGACCGCAGCCCTCTGCAAGATGACAAATGCCATTTGCGAGTCGAGGAACGAGTCGTGGGTCACCATCGAGAAGTGCCGACTGCGTGCAGTTAGCCGCACCAAAACACCGCTAACCATTGAGATAATGGTCCTTTATCCAGCCTATAACATACACGTTAATGCCCAGCTACTGAAGAAGGCCAACGGCTATAAGCCCTGGCTGGTCAACTATACGGCCGATGCGTGTGCCTTTATGCGCCGTGCCAATCATCCCTTTATCAAAATCATCTATGATCTGATCAAGGAGTATTCGACAATCAATCACACGTGCCCCTATGTGGTAAGTGCGGGAATTGAGCTGGAGAGTGAGGCTTACTGACGATCTCTGTGATTTACCTTCTCAATAGGCCAGGCAGATGCTCAGAGATTTTATCGTTGACCCGGCAAAATTGATGCTGCCATTGCCAAGCGGAGAATATCTGCTGCTGCTCACCTGGATGTTCAATAAAAAGCCGCAGTTTGTGACAAACGTTTACTTTACATTTAAAGATTAAAGATAATAAATCAATTATGCTCTAAATTACGGTTTTTTAAGTATCTCATATCAATTGGCATATATATTTAATGAGTAAATATACATTTTGTGTGTAAATCATTATTTGCAATTGTTATTGAATATATGCTATTAAATTTAATAACTTTCAGAGTAAATAGACAACATAATTATTGTTTTACGCTTATCGATAAGTACACATAGATCTAGTATCGTTTGGAGCTCAACAGTTGAGACAATGAAGCCTACAGTGAAACAGACTCTTTGCGCTATATTTGCGGGGCTGCTCTGCATAAAAACCGTTCAGGTATTCAATAAATATATCTTTGGTAATTGAAATCTTTTTAATATATATACAAATTGCAGCTGATGGCCATCACCAAGTGGACGAATGTCATTTGCGAGACGAGAAACAAATCTTTGGTGATCGTCGATCAGTGCCGATTGCGTGCACTTAGCCGCAACAAGACAATTTTGAACATTGGAGTGGAGCTTCTGCATCCGGTCAGAAATCTGTATATCAACTGGAAGTTGTATAAACGAGAGAACGGCTATAAGCCCTGGCTGGGCCAGTATACGGTTGATTATTGCGCCTTTATGCGCAGAGTCAATCATCCTGTTATCAAGCTCCTATATGATATCATCCAGGACTTTACAAACCTCAACCATACGTGTCCCTTTGTGGTAAGCAAAGACTGCTCTTGCATAACTTCTACTTAATACTTAATCGATCTACTCTCAATGCAGGGCAAGATAGTTGTTAAGGATTTTTTCTGGGATACCACAAATTACACATTGCCTGCGCCAACTGGAGATTACCTGCTGCTCCTGACTTGGATATCCAATAAGAAGAAGCAGCTCTTAACGAGTATTTACTTTTCATTTAAACAGGATATATTCACCGAATAACCTGCTGAGATGCAATACCATGTGCTGGCCATTAGTGAAATATATAATAATGAACTGCACCCATTGAAAATGGGTAGCAAGGGTATATTGGTTTTGGGCATATGTATGTAACAGGCAGTAGAAAGCATCTCCGACCCAATAAAGCATATATACCCTATATATCAGCATCAATAGATGGGTCGATCTAGGCAGGTCCGTCCGTCTGTTTGCGTTGATCTTAGAACCCATAAGAGCTAGAGACTTAAGATTTTTAACTTAGTTCCTTCTAATGCCAGTCTTATCATTGATAAGTTATCCCATTTCCAAGCAATCGATAAGAATCGAAATCGAAATCTTTGCTTTTGAGCCAATCTCTTAAGTTTTAAGAGTCAGCAAATTTGACATTTAGCTTCTAAACAATTATATACAGAAGTATCTTTAATTTTCAAAAACATGTTATTCTGTATTTGGTTTTTGTTAATTAAGGTTCAGGGTATCCGCTAGTCGAGCACTCCCAACTAGAACACTTTTGTTTAATGTGGGATTGTGGTTAGATTATGGAATGCCGTTTTAAATATATAAAGGTAAAATATGTTGCCACGAATCCAATTTGATATATTTAAACTGCTTTGAGTATTTAATGATTGACGTGCTTTTAATTGGTGAGTTTTTCAGAGCTACATAAACGAACGACAATGAAGCCATAAAAAAATCTGCCACTTTTTGTGTAATATTTTGTTTATAAGAATACTGATATATATATATTTCTATGATCTTTAAAGGCAGGCCAAGCAGATGATGAGGGATTTTTATAGGCAGCCTCCCTACCTGGATGTTTATAGCTTACCTCAGGATTTATTTAGAGATCAACTAGCAGCAAATATCTATTATATCTATAGCTCATTATTGTGGACTGCGCACTATTGAATTCGCGATTATTAAATTCGAACAACAAAAATAAATATCAATTTAAGGGTTTCTCGATAATTATACAACAATTTGGCATCAGTCAGCAGTCAACCGTTGAGGCAATGAAACCTGCAGTGAAACTAATCATTTGTCTGGCATTTGTGGATGTGCTCCTCTTAAAAACTGTGCATGTATTTAAATCAAAAATCATAATTGAGCTCTGTACAATTCGAAATAACGTGTACAAATTCCAGATGGCAGCCACGGTTAAGTTTACGAACGCCGTCTGCGAGTCGAAAAACAAAACTTGGATTACCTTCGATCGATGTCGATTGCGTGCGATTAATCGCAACAAAACAGTTTTGAATGTGGAAGTGAATTTTCTTCATCCGGTGCACAGCGCAAATCTCAACTTCCGGATGCAGAAAAGGGCGAATGGCTATAAGCCCTGGTTGGGCGAATATACGGTCGATTTCTGCGCGTTTATGCGAAAATCCAATCATCCGGTTTTCAGAATTGTATTTGACATTTTGAAGGACTTCTCGACACTCAACCATACGTGTCCCTATGTGGTCAGTAAAAGTTTCCCGAACACAGTCTTTACACTTCTCTGATGCACTTTCTATGCAGGGCAAGCAGATTGTCAAGGATTTATACTGGGACGCCAAAGGCTTACAGTTGCCTTTGCCAAGTGGGGACTACGCCGTGCTCCTAACTTGGATTTTCGATAAGAAGCCGCAGGCTTTAACGAATTTTTACTTTACTTTCCATCAGGATTTATTTAATGAGTAGATCAATGATACACCCAAAGTCAATGCTTCCTATTTCAATTAATTAAAATAACCCAAAAATTAAAAGAAAATATATTTGGTCTTCCATCTTCAAGGGAGGCTTGAAATCATGACATAGTGAAATTAAATTCACAATTATTGAATAGTTCCGAAATTTAAATGATGAAAATTTTAAAATATTTTCCAGTTTTCGGCTGGAGTATACATCCATATAGAAGCCGTGAGAAATCGACATTTGTGTGTTGTTTGTGAAAGTGGAAGTACTTAAATAAAAGTTTTCGATTTGCATTAGCACAATTTGAAAAAAAAGGGTTCTAATGCCAGTTAAATTAACTTCGATCTGCGCCGGACATCGACATAGACTTTTCTTTTAAAATCTAGATCTAACCCAGATCTAGGCAAAAAAAAAAACAAATGGCAATAAGCCCAGTTTAGCTCATTATACGGTTGATTACTGCGCGCTTTTGCGTCAAGTTAATCATCCTGTTGTTAAAATTTATCTTGATGCTATCAGGAACTATTCACAATAGTATACACTGCTCAACCACATGTGTCCCTCTGCCAGTCATATTTATACAGCCAATCATTCATACTTCAATAATCTTACCTTCAATAAAGTGCAATCAGATAGTTAAGGAATTCACCTGAGATCCTAAAAACTTGTTGTTGTTGCCACGAGGCCCCATTGAGAACTAACATAAGTGTTGACTCGGATTTTCGATGGGCTATAATGAATTTTTAATTTACGTTGCGTCAGGAATTAATCGAAGTTTAACCATCAGCATACATCTATTCATGCATGTTTTATGTTTATTCCTATTAACTATGATTATGGATTGTGTACCATGAATATCACAAATATTGAAATCTATTCACTTTTAATGACAAATATGATTCTACATGGTTTTTCAATTTGTCCACATGCATATATTAATAGTCCAAAATCGACCGTTGAGACAATGAAGCCTACGCTGAAACTGATAATTTGTGTGATATTTGTGGAAGTTGTCTTCCTAAAAACTATGCATGTACTTATCAGAACACTCTCCATTTGCATTTGCCTACTTTGGATTAACGAGTTTAAATTCCAGATGATAGCCACGGTAAAGCTTACGAACGCCGTTTGCGAGACGAAAAACAAAACTTGGGTTACCTTCGATCGATGTCGCCTGCGTGCGATCAGTCGCAACAAAACAGTTTGGAATGTGGAAGGTAACTTGCTTCAGCCGGTGCATGCCGCAGAACTAAATTTTCGGATGCAGAAAAGGGCAAATGGCTATAAGCCCTGGTTGGGCGAGTATACAATTGATTTCTGCGCCTTTTTGCGTAGAGTCAATCATCCTGTCATCAAGATCTTTTATGATACAATCAAAAACTTTACAACCCTCAACCACACGTGTCCCTTCATGGTAAGTACGAGCTGATCTGAAAGCCTATCAAAATATATCTGAGAACAACTTTCAATGCAGGGCAAGCAGATTCTTAAGGATTTTTTCTGGGACCCTAGAGACTTAACGGTGCCTTTCCCAAGTGGGGATTACGCGGTGCTCGCAACTTGGATTTTCGATAAGAAACCGCAGGCTACAACGAATTTGTATTTTACATTCCATCAGGATTTATTCAAAGATTAGCATATCTCTATATATATATTTATGTACTATTGGTACACTTGCAAAATATGATGACATTTACTATTAAAATGAATGATGTACTGTTATTCTAAAAGTTTTCTCATATCTGTCAGTTTTATTTGCGAGACTTGAAAAAAATCTTTCTATGTAGACTTTGTGTCTCCTAGTTAAACACTTTTTACTATATAGAAAATCTTTATATTCTTGCATTTAAAAACTTTCTTTTTTATTTCTAAGTACATATTGTTTTTGGTTATTGTACACCGTAAAAGTTTGTCTCCGATCATCGATAACTTGCCACGTTTCCAAGCAATCGATACAAATCGATATCGAGCTGTAGTTCTTAAGTTATAAGAGCTTGAGTCGCCAAATTTGAAATTAATCTGCTAAACTAGTATATACAGAAGAAGTGTCTTTCATTTTCAAAAACGTGTTAAGCTGGTTTGGATTTTCGATGGGCTATAATGATTTTTTACTTAATGTCAGGAATTATTCCAAATTTTACTATCATGTATGTCCATCTCAATATATTCCCATTAAATATGATAAGGGATTGTTTACTATTAAATGCACAGTTATTAAAATCGGTTCAGTTTTAATGACAAATATAATTATAAAGGCTTTGTCAATTTGTGTACATTCATATATTAATAGTCCAAATTCAACCGTTGAGACAATGAAGCCTACCGTGAAACTAATAATTTGTGTGATATTTGTGGAAGTTGTCTTCATGAAAACCATTCATGTACTTATTTGAACACTCTCGATTTGCATTTACCCACTTTGGATTAACGAGTTTAAATTCCAGATGATAGCCACGGTAAAGCTTACGAACGCCGTTTGCGAGACGAAAAACAAAACTTGGGTTACCTTCGATCTGTGCCGGCTGCGTGCGATCAGCCGCAATAAAACGGTTTTGAACATGGAGATAAACCTTTTGCATCCGGTGCACAGCGCAGATCTCAACTTCCGGATGCAGAAAAGAGCAAATGGCTATAAGCCCTGGCTGTTTCAGTATACGGTTGATTTTTGCGCATTTATTCGCAAGGCCAATCATCCCGTCATCAAGATTTATTATGACATCATCAAAAGCTATTCAACCCTCAACCACACGTGTCCCTACATGGTAAGTAAAGGCTTTTCTAAAAGCATATCAAATTATATCTGGGAACAACTTTCAATGCAGGGCAAGCAGATTGTTAAGGATTTCTTCTGGGACGCAACAGATTTCTCGTTGCCTTTTCCCAGTGGGGACTACGCGGTGCTCCTAACTTGGATTATCGATAAGAAACCGCAGGCTTCAACGAATTTTTACTTTACGTTCCATCAGGATTTATCTAAGGACTAACATATCTTTATGTATATATTTGTGTATAATTTTTGGTACATTTGCTAATATGAAGACATTTTCTATTAAAATTAATTGTGTATTCGTTATATTTATTCAACAACTCTTCTTACATCAATCTTATAATAATTTATCTTATATCAATATTAAATTCAAGCAATGCCATTTACGAGACTTGAAATTAATCTTTCTTGAGCGAATAAAATACCCAAGCAACTATTTCTGTGATATTTGTGGAAATTCTCTTCAAAAAAACTTGGTATATATACATATATATATATATATAAATATATAACTAAGTAGCTGCAATTCGAAATGGTAGCCACTATTGAGCTTACGAATGTCATTTGCGATTCCAAAAATACAACTTTTTATGCTATTATATTATAATAGTATAATAGCTTGTGCTCTTTGAAATATACAAGTATTTAACCACAGCTATCAGTTCCGCCCTGATCCCCAATCAGTCAGTTTTTAATTGATATATATACTAATTTTACAAAAAAAAAAGGGAAACAAACATATCGGTATTTTTATAAAAAACTGAAATTATTTTTAAATACAGCTTGTATTCAATCATAGTTCATCGTATAAGTTTGTTATTGATCATCGATAACTCGTGTTGTTTCCAAGATATCGATACAGATCGATATCAAATATCTCTTCGATATCGATATCTCTTAGGTTTAAAGAGCTAGAGCTAGAGAATTTGACATGCAGCTTCTAATGGAGCATAAACTTATCATGCATATTTACATTTCTGATTACTTTAATGTAGTAGTAGTTCTATTGGTTAGGTCGACACAGGCATTTTATCATTCAAAAATGCTACTGTATATCCTTTGCCCATTAAATTGGAACAACTATGTTCTTTGAAGAAGGTTTAGGGTATCCCCAGTCGGGCACTCCCGTCAAGAGGACTCTTTTTTTATATGCCATTATTATTATAATTAGTATTATTATAATAATAGCCTTTCGAGTCAATTGAGAACACCAATTTTAGGGTCTTTCGCTCAGTGTACACATATATATAAATAAAATTTACATATATATATATATAGTGTACTACTTATATAAAGTAGCAGTCGGAATTCAACAGTTGGGACAATGAAGCCTACAGTAAAACAGACTATTTGCGCTATATTTGTGGCGGTGCTCGCCATAAAAACCGTGCATGTATTCAAATAATGTCTTTGGTAATTGGTGTCTTCTAATTCTACAAAATTCCAAAATTCCAGATGATAACCACCGTCAAGATGACCAATGTCATTTGCGAGTCCCAAAACAGAACTTGGGTCACCGTCAATTTGTGCCGGCTGCGTGCGATTAGTCGCAACAAGACAGTTTTCAACCTTGTCTTTAACATTCATTATCCAGCCCGATCGATTACCCTTGTTTGGCAGATGCACAAAAGGGAAAATGGATATAAGCCCTGGTTTGGTCAGTATACGATTGATTTCTGCGGGTTTCTGCGTAGGGCCAACCACCCTGTAATGAAAATGTTTTGGGATGAAATCAAGGACTATATTGACTTCAAACATCCGTGTCCCATGGAGGTGAGCGACAAAATAGTACTAAACGTTTTTATATGTAAAGTGTTTGATTATCCTCGCAGGGCACACTGACAGTAAAGGATTTCTTTTGGGACGCCAGAAATTTTTCGTTGCCTTATCCCACCGGGGACTACATGGTGCACCAATCTTGGCTTTTCGATAAGAAGCAGCAGTTTATTCTAAAACTTTACTTTACTTTCAATCAGGATATATTCAAAGATTTCAATCACTAATCAATGCATATTGCTGCCTCTTCCAAGCGTTGACTTTTCGCTGATTCTTACATCGGTTTTTGGTAAGAGGCCGCACTTTCAAAGAAATGTTTACTCTACATTCCAACAGGATATATTTAAAGTTTATATTTGTGTCTTCATATTTTATGTATGGTATGGTATTTAAATATAAAAACTCGATTTGCATTTCCAAACTTTGTCATAACTAAGTAGGTTCAATTCCAAATGGTAGCCAC